TATGTTAGCTTGCGTGAGCAAAACAAAACCGGTTATGAACACCTGAAGGAATAATGATAGTGATTAATACCAATAAACAACTTACAACTGCAATCGACATTTTCAAATTCTACACGAAATTAGTAAGCTGGATTTTCAATAAATGCAAGCAGACATGCAATCCACCGCAGGAAAAAAGATGGCGGCTGTACATTTTACCACAATGCCTTGCGAACCTAACATAGCCTACAAGGCACAAAGAAAGCCAAATTTTTACAATATTTGCCCCTGTACTAAGAACATTGAGTAGCTTAGGTTTGAAGATTACAACGTTTCTGTACGTTTTTATGAACGTTGTTACGGTTTTTGTGCGCTAAGAACTATGGGTAAATGTACCAGTCGCCATCTTTTTTCCTACGGAGGATTAAGCATAGGCTTAGATACGAAATAGGACGGCCGGTCAACGGACAAAATCCGGACTGATTAGGGATTTGACCGGTCAACCTTTCGTCTTGCCGATCATGTTGACCGGTCACATACGATCGTGTCAAAAATGAAATAAATTAAAGGTTCCATGCTGTTGAGTTGTTTCAGTTGTTATCAGTATGTAGCGAGTCGCTTTGTTTTGCGAAACTTTGATCTGAAATCCTGGGTGAAATGCAACTAGAATCGTTGTTCGTTGTTTACAATTCACGCATCGAAACAGATATTGCGGTTGGCGAGTTAAAATGCCTGGTTACTAAGCGTTTCCTCGACGAATACACATTTTCTTCCCTTGTAATGGGGTAATGAGTAACATGGATTACTGGCGGAGTTTTAGGATCAAGATCTCACACTGCGATACGTACACCAGAAATCATTATATTTGGAGGCGCTGGAACAATTTAAGGTGTACTATAAAGATATTAAAAGTCATAAAAATTCTTGATATTCGGCCATTTCAATTTCAGCAGAAAGAGAAAACAAACAGGGGTAACAAAGATAGCAAATAGATTACGCATGGTATATTCAACTTGACGTTTCGTTTGTTACAACACACATCTTCAGAAGTGACGGTTACAAAATACGACAAAATTTCAAAAGACCAAAACTATAGCGCGCTATTGGTAACAAGTTAGACAACAATGAACAAAAGAAACTACATCCGGTGTAAGTTAATGAAGAAAGAGTTTTTTCGCAACCAACGTTTTCATTTAGGGCGGGTTTTAAGTCTCGTATCAACAATGTTTTCCTTGATTTTACACTGTTACGGGTTAGTCTTACAGAAAGTGTACCTATTGATACACATAAGCTTATTTTCATAAGCTTATTTTATTTTTATTGTTGACAATGAGTGCTAAAAAGTGTTACTGACAAGGTCCAAGCAACAACTTTTTTGGAAATATGTAACGCCAGTTTTGGTTCATGGCCCCCGTTTCAGGAGTTAATTATCTTATAAATTTGCCTGGCCAGAAATGTAACGTGACCCAGCTAAAATCAATTTGGCCGGTCATCGTTTCCGGCAGACTCTCAGGAAATTATTTTGAGCCCTGCGCAATTACGAAGGATACGAAGACAGATTTTCGATACATGCAAACAAACAAAGTACCGCATCTCAAAACAAGCTATAAATGAAAA